ACGGTTAGCATTCTGCACTCTAGAAACCAATGTACTATTAATGATATTTTGTTTCCCCAGGATCCACAGTAGTGTCATTATTATAAAGTTACCTGAAGATAAATTCTCTACATAGTGGAAGAAGTTGTTTGGGACAGAATTTTGCAAATGCAGTGCTCAAGTGTGTCCTCATGGCACTGGGTTATGTTGGGACAAGACACAGCTGCACCACCCCCACGTGGGATGTAGGGAGAGGGACCTGCTCCTACCAACCTCAAGGAAGAAAAGTACGCTCTTCCTTCCATTGGCAAGGAGGGCTCAGGAACCTCATTTTTCTTCCTTGCCCCATCTCCCTCATTTTACAGGAACCTCATTTTTAGAGGTCTGGCTATTGGCACTATAAGTAACAACCGGAAACAGTGGCCACTGCTTAGGCAAGGGTAAAGAATACCTATATACTGAGCCTCTGTACTAGCGTACAAGGGAGGGAAGCTCCTTGTGTGTTCTTTCACTCTTGTACACTCATTCAGGGTCTGGCCTGGAAATGCAACAATAACGTTTATAAGATGCTTTGTTTGACCTTGGCTGAGTCTATGTGAGACGCTGACTGAGCAGTCATTTAGTACTTGTATAAAGTAATGACTGCACAGTCAGCATCTTGTGTATAACAAGTGTCATGTGTCTCATCTTTAACAGCATCCCATGTATAAACAAGTACTAAATGACTAGAGTTACTGCACAGTAGGCTCCTTTGTGACACTGACTGTGCAGGAGCCCAAGACTACTGCGCAGTAGTGTCACGTCATGCTTTCTGCCACATGACACTACTGCTAAGTGGTCAAGGGCTACTGTGCAATCAGCATCTCACATAGATGTGGCCCCTGTCTATTCTGAGGTTAACTGGAACGTGGGATGAGAGTCATTTGCATGAAATAGAGAAAAGCAGTCTACAGCTGCTTATAATCTACAGCAAATAATGAGAGTAATGTACTGTTTTTGTAGTTAGGCCTCTCTGAACTTGGGCAGATTATTATCCCCTTTTTACAAATGGGAAAATTAAGGTAGAGATTAGCCCAGAGTCACAGAAACAGAAAAGGGAAGAAAATACAATTTTTGACTCCTAGCTCAGGGTTTCATGCACAGACTTTCCTAGCATTTTCCTACTAAAATAGTCAGAAATCATTCTTACTAAAAACCCCATAGTATAGTATCGCACATGAGCAATCAAATACTTGAGGATTAATTCACTGCTACCTTTATTTCGAATTACAATCCAACGGAGTTATGTGACCACAAAACTGGAGCAGTGCAGAGATGAATCAGTCCTTCTCAACCTAGAGATATCAAAAAGTTTGAATTTTAAAACAATCTCTGGTTCTTCAGACCCTTCCGTTATTAGAATGGTAATTAGTTGGGCAGTGAAATTTTAGTGTGCTTCTTGGGAGGACTTCAAATATTTGAACAAACAATTGAACATTTGCAGTTACTAGTTAGTATTTTGCTGAGGAAGAAACTAAGCAGTCAGGTTTTGTTTTAAAGAAATGACTTATAAGAAAATAATTCAAGAAAAGAGAAGGGAAGTATGGTAAGCAGTAGGGGTGTGTGAAAACAGCTGTATTTGATTTGGATTTAGATTCAGTCCGAACTGGGGACAGTGATTCTATTCATTGATTTGGATCACTATCCCCAGTTCAATTCAGCCAAATCCAGATCTGAAGTTTTGATGCTGATTAAGAGAAACAGCAATTCAGCCATAGACACAGCTTTAAATGTTTTTTCTAAATACCTTGAAGTACCAGGCACAACTTGTGAACACCGTGATGGTGAGGTGGATGGAGTGTCCCACAGGAGTGCTGGGGTGGGGAGGGCCCCACACACTCAGCAGCGAACCCAGAAGTGGACCCATCCACTTCTGGGTTCACCACCAAGCATGTGGGGGGTCACCCCACACACCCCAGCTCAGTGATTGCCCCCCCCCGACCCAGGAAGCAATAGTCACTGAGCCAGAGGGGTGCAAGGGAGCCCTCCAGCATGCTCCCTGGTGGACCTGGAAGTGGACTGGAAGTGCTTCTGGTCTGCTTCTGAGCATGCTGGGGTGCCCCCCGTGCTCTTGTGGGACACTCCATCCACCCCACCATTGCAGCATTCATAAGCTGCCTGGTACCTTGAGGTATGTAGAAAAAACATTTAAAGCTGTTTCTATGTCCTAATCATTGAATCTTTCCGAATCTCTCCGACTTGATTCAGAGGGTTCCGACTGAATTCGGAGAGATTAAAGGGTCTCCTGATTTGATTCAGATTCAGAGATTTGGCCACTGAATCAGGTTGAATCTCCACCAGATTGAATCAGGGACTGAAGCTTCACACAGCCCTAGTAAGCAGGGCCTGGGATGATGCCCCAATCATGGGGGATTGCCTGTATTGAATAGAATGCTCCAAATAATGTTATGTTTATTAGTCCAACACACAAATGCTTTTCCTGCTTTTTAGAGTTTTAAATTACATATTCTGAGGTTCAGGACTGGTTATGCATTCCTTTGAATCAGTGTCACAAAGACATCACTAGACTGAGAACACAATTATCATCATAAGGGTCTGCTGGAGGACAATGAGGTATGTCACTGGAAGCCATGAACCAGATATGTCCTGTAAATGTTTCCAATACTAAAAGGCTATGCGCTATTATACCTGAATACTACTGGTCTGTTCACTTTCTTGCTTCCTTGTGGTAAGGGGCCATCTTTTTGTTCTGTGTTTGTGCAGAGAAAAGTACAATGTGGTCTTGGCTTATGATTATTAGCAGTGACATTTATAATATTAATAAATATATATTATTTAAAATCTTATATGAATTTAATGCTTCCTGCTATTGGGAACCACACACCACAGAATAAAGACCTGGAAAGCAGACAGAAAATTTGGTAAAAGCACTGGCTCTCTGTTTTCATTTTGCAAATCACTTTGTATAGACATTTCACTTCTTTTTAGACAGTCAAATCTCCCCAAGTAGAAACCAAAAGTCTACAGAAGTTCAGTCTTTTTCTCCCGAAAGGATGGCTGCTTCAAGAAAAAAATTAGCTGGGAACAACCAGGACTAAATCACTCGTAGGAAGGTTTCTTTTGGGACAGTGAATTTTAGTAAATTGCTGTGGCTTCTTACAGAAGAGAGCGTAGTCCTCCAGCATCCCCTCTCCCCCTCCCATCCAAACCCAGGAAGATGGCAAGCCACTTACCACACTCTGAAGGACACTCCTCCTTCACAATCCCAAATTATGTGGCAGAGAAGAACAGGCTGACCATGAGCAGTCTGGGTCAGACAATCGGGGCTGCCTTATGCATTGCTCCCATTTGTCACCAGGCAGACTGAGAGAGCCTGCAGAGCGGACTGAGATGTGAGCATATATGCCCCCAGCTGTATAGTGTCAGCACTGCAAGCTCTCCACTCTTCAGGGCCTCATCATCCAAATGTGTACATGAGGCTCTGAGCAAATTCTTCTACCAGGAGAACAAACCCAAGGGATTTCTCCCACGTTATCTGAATGTGTGTACTCAGCCTTAGTAAAACATTCATGCCCTTATAGACCTCTCTTCTCACAACACATCTATTCTCCACTACTTATTTTTCAAAGTCCTTTACTTCATTAACTGCCATAGAGGTTCTTGAGACCCCTGCTCACCCACTGATACATTTTAGAATCACTGGTTGCAGATTTAAATGGTAGTTTGCTTCAGAGAGGACTTTCAGGATTTAATACACACAGCTTTATAGGAGGTCTGAGTAAAGTCAGACTAATAGTTACAGAATCTGTTCTTGGTAAAGGGAAGTCTGTGTAAGCAGGAAAGATTTCAAATTATAATACAGAAAAAGAGAAAGTATAGTACGTGTGTGGATACAAATATATCTGCTTCCTTATCATGCCAAGAAATCCTAAGGCACTTTACAAATGATGTTCAGAATATTAATAGGTCCCATTTTTGGATACCATACAGCATAAGGAATAGGCTGTGTGAAGTTTCACTGGGTATTTCATTTCAATGCTGTTTTGACTCATTTTGAGCTCAAAACAGTGAAGTCAAAACAAAATGAGGGCACTCAAAACATTTTGAAAGTTTCAAAATATTTCAAGTTTCGAAGCTGGGATTGCAGGGAAACAGAAACTAAGGAGAGGGAGGGGGAAGAGGTGTGAAGGACTGCTCTGATATTGATGTGTAGTTGACCAGTGACTGTGATCCTTCCCTGAGGTCCCTTCCAATCCCAGTGCTCTGGGGGAGGGATGGAAAAACATCATAAAAAGCAGCACTGTTTAAACTGAGCTTTCTCTGTGGCTTGGGGTCAGTTACTGAGCTGTATCTTTCAGGAGCTCAGCAGCATCAGAAAAAAGCTATCATTTCCTACTTGCTGGTCTGTTATTAGCAAGTGGGATCCAATACCTTTTACTTTCATAATACCCTTTTACTATTATATTAATTCATTCCTTTCAATTTATTCCTCCCCCAAAATCCTCTTTTTGTTTTTGTTATTCTACTTTGATTCTTTTCCAAAAGAAAAAAAATCTGTGCTTTCTCTCCCAATGTGCATTCCATTCACTATGCAGGGAAGCACAACATATATTGAATATTATAACATATAATTTATTCAGGAACACATACATAATACATTTATATAATTTATTTATTACATAAATACATATATACAATTACCTACATATATTACATGAATACAGATTGCATTACAGAAGAACATACAGATTTTCCAGCACACCAAACACACTATGAAACACACTATGAAGTGTTATGGAAAGGCAGCTGGTAAGCCTTCAAGGAGCGGCAAAAGAGGGGGTAGAGAGAGAACTACAAGTTCCCCCTCCCCCAAAACTGAGACACAGCTTGTTTCCGACAACTGGCAGTCATGAGGCCTCCAGTTCTACTGGCAGCAAGGAGAAGGGAGCAGTGCCACTCCCTGAGTCTGCATCCTCTCCAAGAGTACCATCTATAACCCACACCAATACCACCATGACAACAAGCAGCACCAGCATGACAATCTCCTCCACCCCCATTTCACTTCCCATACTGAGCCTTCCAATGCCAAAGGAAGAGCCAAAGGTGGATCTGGATCTGTGTGCCATAGCAAGGGAAATTCTGGGGAAGGAGGGGGAATCATCTGAGTTGGTGCTCCATGCCCCTCAAGTTTCTCCTAGAGCCAAATCTCCTTCCCCAGAAGGCACTTCAGAGGAGGTTGAGGTAGAGGGTGTGGAGGCAAGTGACTCAGCTGAGTCTGCTCCTGTTGCTGTGCCTCTTCCTGCTGAGGAGGGGGAAATGGCAACATCTGCACATGCACCTGCACCTCAGAAGTGAGTGGGTAGTGTGGTCTTGGATCATTCTGAGCTGGCAGATGATCCCACATATGTTATCTGCCTGCACTGCTGAGCCAAAACTAGCTGGGGCAAAGGAAAAAAACACATGAGCACCACGGGGATGCTGATACAGCTCCTCTGGCACCAACCTCTTGTCCTTGCCCCTCCTCAGCC